TTCATCCTGAGGCCAGCATCCTTACAGGCACATGGCCTCAAATACACTTGTTTCCGTCCTTGGGGCAAAGGATTAGTTATGAATCATAAAACAGTTCTGCTTTCTGGCCCTTGTTGACTTGCCAGTCAACTCCTCCCTAAGATGGAGTTTCTCAAAGAACATTCAATATGCAGTTGCCAAATTTTAGTTCTTTCCCCCTTGCTGTGTTTTTTATAAAACCTCAATTTCCCACGGTTTATTCAGATAATCATTTGGAGCAGGAAAAGGTATGTTATCATCCAGACTCTATTCCTCATTTCATAATTGGAACCAAAAAGGCCAACCCTCTTTTTTCCACACTTGGTTGTTTTTCCTCTACACATGGAGCATGTTCAGCCAGATTATGGCAGCTAGAGAAAAACTGCTACACACAGACAATCATCACATAAGAACCACTATGTCCAGAAATATAAAACATATGGATACATATACAATTCAGTTATCAGAAAGATGCTCAAGGGCACGTCATTGAGAACTGCTGTTTCCAAACCTGACCAATTAACAAAATAAGACGTAGAAGCAATTGATTGAAATAACAAACAAATATCTCCTTTTAATGCATGCTTAATTTTAGTCCTGAAAAAGGTTTAAAAGTAATAGTACTGGGTTTATTTCAAGTTTCCTTAGAGTAAAATGTTCGATTATGAGCAATAATCTGGACAGATTTTAGACAATGCAACAATGTCAATCTACTAGGTATCATTATTACCCTTTGACGCTCAATCTTCCATCCCAGACAGGCCAAACAACCTCTTATGGAGTCACTCAAGCTTTGCAGCCTTCCTGTTAACACGTGCCCAGCAATGCCTCAATCACCAGACCATTTCTGTGTTGCCATCCACTAAAGTGACAAGATCAGCAGAGAGCTGCCAGCAGCAGAACCCAGAGGGTCCCTCCATTGATGTGTGTGACTGGATCTGCAGTCAGCATGCATTTCTCCCCATATACAGAAAGCACATCTGGCACACAGTGGAAAAATGACCAGAAAGAAGACAGTGGGAAGCAGGTTACCAAAACAGTTCATGCTGCCACTAGCCAATTCCTTGAGTATCTTTGCAAAATCTGTGGGCCAGATGAATTGTCTCAGGAAGTTGTATCTTACCAGTAGGTAATACTGCCAAGTTTTATGGATTTTGTATCGTCCCACTTTACAACAAACATCACAGAATAATTCAGGTTGGAAGGGACCTCTCAAGATCAACCAGTCCAACCTCATACTCTGGCAAGGTCACATTGGAAATCAACACACTATTCTGGCATATTTTGGTTCATGTCTGATCTGCACTGATAGTTTTGACTTATTATCCTGTCAAATCTAAATGTAAGAAAGATTCTCAGTAGTTCTTAGACTACAACGAAACAAGAACTAATGGTCTGTTTCTTGAAATAAAAAGGTTGAGGCACAAAACAGTTTTTCTCAAAGAAAATTAAATGTTTTATCAATGCAAATACTTTATCTCTTTCTCAATATGCAGTTTTTGCAATTTGGACAAACCACCAAGACATACAAACCAAAGCTTCAGTCGTGTCAAGGTTATACACTGAAGTTCATGCTGTACTTGTTTATACAGTGAATCAGAATAGACAACACAAGCTTATGATACCAGTATCATCAGACATCAGAAATATCAAAACTATGCAGTATCTCCAGCATTCCCCTCTCTTTTTCAGCCCTAAGAGCCTGAACTGCATGTTGTGGAATTCATAGTTGAGGCCATTTTCACAGGAAAATTCAATTTAAAAGCATCTGGAAGAATACTGTCTTTTACTAAGTCCCAGATCCAATTCTCATATAAACACTGTTGGGACAGCATCCTTTAAACATGGTGAGCAAAAGCAAACCTGGTTTTTTTGCTTGTTTTGTGGTTGTTTTTTTGGTTGGTTGGGTGGGTTTTTTGCTTTCAAACAGACATCAAAGCAACAATATTAGGATGAATTTTCAACTGTTCTGAACCTACAGGTTATATAGATCTGCCTTTTTCAGCAGGAGGAACTCTGGGAACACACATATGTGACTTCACAAGTTCAACTCAGCAGTTAATCTGTCTGGGCTTAGCACATAATCAGAAATGGATTTACTACAGTGGCAGCAAATGGAGCTGAAAACCTACACTGCACTGTCTAGGGGAGTGCTTAACCCCTATCTCAAATACAGCCTCCCTCTTTCTACACCAAATCCACATGACAACTGGAATCACCCCAAAGCCAAGCTTGACAGAAAGCCAGTCAGCTGTGCTGCAGATGAAAATTGAGCATCCATCTGCACAGTCACCAGGCATCTCTCAATAAAACAGCCAAGCTGGACAGTCAGCAAGCAGACACTGTTCATTATGATATTTGAGAGCAGCCAGAAGAATGCCTTTCTTTTTTTCCCTTCCTTCTCAGAGTTTTTCTGCCACAAGGTCACATCTGCTGTTTAAAATTAAAGTGGGGGTTTTTGGTGATGGTCTTTGTTTAAGGTCTTCCAAGGCATACTGTTTTGAATAAAATTACTAGTGGCACATCTACGATACACTAACAACTCCTGGTCTATAAAGGTAAACTGTGCACACAGAGTTCAGACCAGTATAAACCATCTCAGCCAATCAATCATTAGAGAAAAATAATCCTTTAAAGACTCATTAAGATACTTGACCAGTGTGATATTAGATGTCAGCATTTCTAATTCATGTCCATTTCTCCTTCATATATACACATATATGTACGTGTACATGTACAAATATACTCACTGTCCTCTCTAGTTTGCCGAATCTACAGCTTGGAGGAGGCAACTGTCCATGCATTTTCCATGTAGCACCCAAAACACTCACAGGCATATAGTAAGAAAGAAGAATATTACTAAGTTAATGTTATAAACAAAACAAACCCTGGTTGTTTAGGTGTTCTGTCATTTCATAGAAAATATTCCATAGCTCTTGACACAAAAAATTGTGGCAGCCAGCATTTTAATCTCCCTGCCCTTGAAATCCTGCTTGCCTCCCATATCTGCTGTAACCATGACTTGGAGGAAAAAGGTGAAATAACAATGTGGCAGGCAAGTCATGTTCATCCTCCTCAAGAGGCTGACTCTCCTAATGAAAGTGCTAACTCTCCTAATGAAAAAAACACATGACAGGAACTAATCTCCAAAATTTGCTGAAACTGCTGCAAAAAGGACTGTGAGGAGATGCACATTTTTCACTCTGAACTTCTGCTTTAAATACCCTGTTGGTAGTTCTGTGTACCTGTATCCAAGGCATTAAAGTCTTCTTGGATGGTTTGGCCTTTCCCTCCCTTCTCCTTAGGTTTTTCTTCAAAATTACTCCTCTGTGGGCTGGTACTGATCACTTGGCTAATCCACCTAATTTCTTATTGTTCTCACAGTCAGAAATTTGCCTCCAAGAGACTAAGATTAGGAAGAGTAACAACAGTGTCTCAACATTTCATCTCTACAAATAAATGTTTGAAAGTATTTTTATGAGACCAGAAACCCACCATGTTCTTAGATGTCACATACAACATGACTGGCAGGAAGCTCTTTTCCTCTTCTTGGTGCAGTGCACTGTAGTTGTAAAAATCAAGACCTAATTCCCAGCCTTTTCAAAGGAATCAGGAATCACCTAGTTGCACTACAAATTTGATTCTATGTAAGTGGTTTAAAGAAATTACAAGATTTAGCTTCCTTTATGAAACCAGCTGTTCTCCAAGTGGACTGAAAGTATAAAAGGACAGCAGAATAAAGCCACCTAATGCTCCAAAGCAACACACTATTTGGGAGGCTTCCTGACAAGCCACAGGGAGATGATCAATGAGACACGATCATCTGTAGCAGTAAAAGTAGGTGGCTCATTCTCCTGAATGGCAAAACTGAGGTGCAGTTGTACACTATAAAACACATTACAGCCAACACAGTATCTCCAAGGAGATAGTAAGTAGAGAACTAATTGTAACAAAATCCTGAACCAGCAGTAGAAGGACACAAGGCTCAGGACAGGGAATGGAGCACTTGGCTCTCTGCAAATCCCAAACTGACAGTGATCAAGATGAGGTTTTGTTGCAGATGCTCTTCATTTTGTGACATCAGTAACATGGGTAGGCAACAGTAATACTCATAAAACTGCTGTGAATGTCCCCATTTCCCCAGTGACTCCAGTGTAAAGAACTAGTTGCCCAGATTCCTTATAGCACCAGAAGCAGCTGAACTCAGTTTTTTGGATCTGCTCTCCGTCACCACTACAACATCTCTCAGAAGGGGGTATGATGGAGAAAGCACCAAAGAGCTTGGATCTCACTAGGACCAGAATGCTGTGCCACACTTCACTTTTTAAAGAAGTGATTATTTCCTCTTTACTAGGAAGATTGTGGAGGATCAGGCACACAGCGATTTCCAAGCACTCTACTAATTACTCAATTACTCTCGACTGATAACACAACAAGGGACCATACAACTCCCAGTATACACAGTCTCACTGAGCATTGGCATTACAGTTGCATGTGAACCACTTCTGTCATTTAAAAGGTAGCTAGAAAGAAAAGGGGGCATGAAAGAGAATTCTACCAAATTAAAAGCATAATTTAACTATCAAACTCCCAGAAAAATTCTCCTTAGCAAGTTTTGAAGCTGGAGGTAGCATTGCAAAAGTAAGGGGCAGGGCCAAATCCTAATATCTCTCAAATACATAGAACATAAGAGGAAAAAAGTGTTTCTTATGCACACTAATACTTTTATTATGAAGCCAAATGTAAAATTAGTATGGCTCTAGAATAAAACATAGTCTTCCAAAGAAAGCTACTTATTTCTCTGAAATTTTGGAACTGTAGGCACCATTCAACAGAGAAATCAGTGTTGCAGAGGGAGGTGCAGCAGAACTTGGTGCAAAAGACAGAAGTACTAATAAAATGTTCAACAGCTGAAAATAGTTGCCATAGAAGTAACAATTTCACACTTTATGTTCTAGGGAAGTCCTATTACTTTTGGTGAGATGCACAGGTAAGTGTTCATTAAAAAAAAAAAAAAAGCAAACAAGACACTATTAATAGAGGGTATTTCAGAACACAGTTATATTCAGTAACCAGCTTCTTCAAAGTGCCCTGGTCAGATCATGCCAAGGGTCTTGAAAAGAGCTGATTACAGACAATGATGGAGATAAAAGACAGAACAGAAGGATCTCTGCACAGCATTTTATAAAACCAGTCACTCCAGGTTTGTTCATGGAACCAGTACAACAGATGTCCGGTAATCTTTTAAGTAACATTATCTTAGGTCTGCCCACACTGTTTTGCTGTTCAAAGCTCCATCAGTTTGAAAAATTACCTCAAAATAACAACTCCAAAACCTTACATGAGGAATATTAATTGAATGTTTCTATCAGATCTTGCCATACCGACTTAGGGTCTCACTACCATTTTACTCTTCCGGTGATTTTGTCACAACATACAGTTGTTCCTATTTTTTATATTTTACAAATATTTTATTAGCTAGTGCAGTAAAACTGCTAAAAGAAAAAGTTAAATGCAAATTATCCAAAGCATTTGAAAGTATATGATGCAAAAAATTTTCAGATCAGGTATATGTGGTTTTTTTTCTTAAACCTCTGAAGTGCCATGGAACTTCATGCTAACTCAGTGAGAATTACATTAAATACAATTCAATGAAAGCTGTAATTTACACAATTCTTTATGGCTTCTCATGTCCCAAAAACATTTCACACAAGTTGTGACATTACTGTGTGACAGAGCAAGACAACAGAAACCAGCTGACAAGGCTTCAGGAGTTATCCAAACCAAACAACATTGTAGCATCACAGAATCATTTAGGTCAAAAAAGACCTTTAACATCATTAAGTCCAACCATTAACCCAACACTGCTAAGCTCACAACTAAACCATGTCCCTAAGTGTCACATCTACACATTTTTAAATACCTCCAGGAATGGTGAATCCACCACTTCCCTGACAGCCTGTTACAATGCTTAACGGCCCCTTCTATGAAGACATTTTTCCCAGTATCCAACCTAAATCTTCCCTGGTAGAACTTGAGGCCATTTCCTCTTGTCAGTTGGCAAAAGAAATCGACCCCCATCTCACCACAACTGCCTTTCAGGTAGTTGTAGAGGGTGAAGTGGTTCTTCCTGAGCCTCCTTTTCTTAAGGCTAAGCAATCCCACCTCCCTCATCCATTCTTCACAAGGCTTGTGCTCCAGACTCTTCACCAGCTTCATTTCCCTTCTCTGGACACACTCCAGTACCTCAATGTCTTTATTGTAGTGAGGGTCCCAAAACCGAGCACAGGATTCAAGATGCGACCTCACCAGTGCTGAGTACAGAGGCACAATCACTTCCTAGCCCTGCTGGCCACACTATTTCTGTCATCAAGCCAGGATGCCATTGGCCTCCTTGGCCACCTGGGCACACCACTGGCTCATGTTCAGCTGCTCTTGACCAGCACCACCAAGTCCTTTTCCACCAGGCAACTTTCCAGCCATTCTTTCCAAGGCTGTAGCGCCGCATGGGGTTGTTGTGACCCAAGTGCAGGACTAGGCACTTCGCCTGATTAAACCTCATACAATTGGCCTCAGCCCATCAATCCAACCTGTCATTTCTATAAGAACTCCATAATTCCATTTGTTCCAACTTCCAAGCCAACAACAACAGTGTACAAAATTTGGCTGTTCCTGCAGTGATTAAAAACACTGTCATCCACATGTTCCTCCAATATACACTCTGCATTTTTTTCTTTTGGATTATAAAAACATTAATTATCCTACTTAGTAATAGTCTAACACTACTGGATTGTTTACCACTGCAAGCATCTTCACAGAATGGCTCCTTGCTTTTGGGTCATCTCCACTACCCACCCGCAAGTTCAAATCCATTAACAGGGGCTATACTAGCCCTGCTCACAATTGCAGATAAGCCTTTGCAATGACTCACTGAAACTCAACTTACTAGTTTCCTTCTTATTATACAAGGATGTTTCTAGAGTTCTTAGAAACAGGATGTGTTTGGGATATACAAGACATAAAATTGGTCCATGAATGTATCTCCACGCAGAAAATAGTATGAAACAAAATGATCAGGCTTGGAATTTTTAAACAAATAAAAATGAAATTACGTTAGGTAAAAGTGTTTTGGAAACATATTCTTACAAGCAATTCTTTTCTCAACACTTTAAGGAACATAATGGCAAGACAGGATTTGCGGAAAATAATTATTCTTAGAGAAAATAACACATTAATTGTAAAAATTTAGTGTTGTTTTATGACTGCCACTGTAATCTCTTCCAGAATATTAGAGATAGCTTAATTGCTTACTATATCTAATGAACTCTAGTTCACAGGACTAATTCTCTAAAAGACATGATTGTCAGAATGTCACAGCTTATTACTCCTTCATTTGCTGGTCTGCCCAACAGTCCTCCTCCTCACGATTCTGTTTCAGAAGTGAAAGAAAATGAGTCTTCTGCATTATGTGTGAGAAATGATTATGCGAGATTAGGAAAAATACACACATCTCAAAAAGGTTATCCATCCGAGTTACAAAGCCAGAAATCTGAAATGCTTTTTACATTAATGATTTCACAATCCTTTTTTACAAGTCAAGACATGATGCCTTAATATCATGTCCAAGCTCCATGTTTTGTTAATTACGTCCTACCTAGCTAAATACCCCCCGTAGTTTCAATTAGACATGGTATTCTTCCTCACTTCCCGTCTTGATTATTGTGCACTGTTGCTAAGCGCTAGTTAACAGTTGCCACATTCACCCAAAGTTGGCTGCACTTCAGTAGTCATTCAAAGAATTAAATACAAAACATATGGTACAGAACCACACAAAGCATAAAAGCACTTTTTAAAAGGACTCTAAAAATGCTTAATATGAAAGGTACTGCAAAATCTGTTACACCACTGGAAGTAAAATCCTTACAGTCTTATGCCCACTCCAGATTTCCGAGAAAGAGTGAAAACTAGAGGAAAATGCATTAAAACTTATTTTTTAGCTTTCATTAATAAGATTTCCTAGAGTATGTTTTGACATTATATTAAGTCTAGTTTTACACTGAATAAACAGTCCAGCATTCATAATACAATAGGCTTCATGGTACAGAAACCTTCCCAGATTTTCCTTAAAAGACTGTTTCATTCTCTATATTATCCCATAGCAACTAATTAGAGTCTCCTAAATTACACTCTAAGTTTTCTTCTCCCTCGTAATTGCAAAATACTTTGGACATGACTTGTTGAACTGCCAAATATCAATGCCAATAGCTATGAGTTTAAGAAGACCTTGAACCAAATGTGCTTTTCTGAATTCTAGACAAACTTTTCACACGGTCAGATCACCTCTCCTTTCATCTGTGATGCCCTCATGAGATCTTAAGAAACTTCACATATTTTAATTATCCCAGTAAAAGCTTGGTAATCCGGTTGTCTATTACTGCTTATTTCCTTTAGTATTACATCCTGAGCTTAAAAACTGCCTTACCAAAAAAAAAAAAAAAAACAAAAAACACCCCTCACTATTTCTAATTGTTACGTTATCTACAGACAAACCCAACTAATAAAAATTCCTGCTATGTACAAATTGGATTTTAAAACTAAATTTCTTTTTTCTATTAAACACCTAAGCCAAATATTTGTTTTGTATGAACGCTACCAATAGTAAGCAAAAACTTTTTTTTTTTTAATCCCACTAGCACATATGTAATAAGTTTTTCAACCAGTATAAGACACACTCTTGTTTCTCTTAGAGGGTATATCCCTCAACAAAACCCAAACTTAAGTGGGCATTACAGTATTTAAAAGTGTGGAAAGCCTTAGATGTCTTCTCAGAAGTCATATGTGTAACTATACCCACAACTGAAATATGCACCTATTTGCTTCACTCTCAGCTAAAACAACGTTAATAAAGGTAAATAAATAAATAAAGCTTCAGTTATTCCTACTTAGGAAATAAGAGACAGCACTTTCTTCTCAACAGCCTTTTATTTCAGTCTTTTAAAAAGGTCTTTGTAACAAGGTATCAATGAAGTAGGAAGAATATGAAATATTATTTTACTAATAGGTAAAATACCAGTCAGTGGAAAAGTTGGAAGAGCCACCGTTTCAAAGAAAGTCAAATGGACTTATGCAAAAAAGGTTGTATCTTCAGAGTATTTAAAGAAAACACAGCTGACAAGCAGTAGACATGGGAAGTATTTTTCCACCGGCTAACTTAAAGAGTCTCCTGCACTTCAAACACATCTGAGCATTGATAATTCCTAAATTTCAGAATACGGATAAATATTTGCAGGCTTGGGGCCTAAACAAACAGCAACCCTCGGCCCACCCGCTGGGCTGGCCGAAATCCTGTGGTTCACACAAAGTTTTCGTCTTTCGGAGGTTTCGGAAAAGCCCGGGGAAGCGCCGGGAGGGAAGGGCCGGACGCCGGCGGTACCCCACGGCCCCTGCGTACATCCCCTGTCAGCTGCCGCGAGGAGCCGGCTCCATCCCAGCCGCTTCTTCCCACTCTACCTTTACCTCCCAACAGCAAGCAAGCCCCGCCGATCGGCCGCCACCGCGGTGAGAGCATCCCCGGCGGCCCGCGGGTGACACGGCCCGAGCGGCAGCCGACCCCCCTGGGGCTGCTGCGTATCCGGGGGACACCGCCGCCCCTCCGCCACACCGACAGCCCCCCCTCCATCGCCGGGAAGGAGGCCTCTCCTCCCCAGAACCAGCCCGCACGTCGCCCATCAGTGCCCCAGAACACCGCATCCCCCGGGCCGCCCACGGCCGGCTCTCCCCACGCCGGGCGAAGGCTCCCGCGGCCGCGGAGGGCGAGGCGGCCGAGCCCCCTCTGCCGGCGGCGGCGGGCACGGCAGCCCCGGGCTGGGGAGGGAGCTCGCCGCTCGCCCGCTCCCCGCCACAGCCACAGCCACAGCCACCTGCACCCCCCGCGCCCGCCCCCGCCTCGCCTCGCCTCGCCCCCGGGCTCCGCTGCCCGCCGCCCGTCCGCCCACAGCGCCTGCTTTGCTCCCGCAGCCCCCACGGCCGAGGCTCTCCCACCCCCGCTCTACCCCGTGGGCTCGGGGTCATGTCTCCCCCGGCGCCGGTCCAAAACGCCGCTAACAAAGGGCTGGAGCCCGTCCGGGGGTGGGCACCCGCAGCCCGGCGGTGACGAGGGCGCTGCCCGCGGTGCCGCTGGCAGCCCGCAGCCCCCCCGGTGCCGGTGCTGAGCCCCGCGGGGGTGACAGCACCGAGCGCGACCCGGCGAGCGGAGCCACCGCCGCCACCCGACCCGCTACCTTTGTGCCCTCCCAGAAACCGGCGAGAAGGCGAAGCAAAGCCCCACGCCGCTCCCTTACCTTGCTGGACAGAGAGAGAAAAAGTTGAAGCGCTCTCCTTCTAACCCCTCCCTCACTTTTTTTTTTTTTTTTAAATAATTTAAATGTTTTAATTTTTTTTTTTTTTTTTCTAAATTTCCCCCTCCCTCCCCACACACCGAGCACTGCGCTCAGGCAGTCCCGCCCGGCGCCTTCGGTGCCACCGTCTCCCTCCCTCCCTCCGGGTCTCGGTTTCTCTCTCTCTCTCTCTCTCGGCGGGAGGAGGGGAGGGGAGGGGAGGAGAATGGGGCGGACCCGCAGGTGCCGCCCCTCCTGCTCTGACAACAGGGCAGAGGGGTCGGGGGACGGCGGGCGCGGTGCTCAGGTGCGGGGGTGTCCAGCGGCGGTCCGGGCCGTGCCCCAGGGCGGCAGGGCTGGGAAGGGAGGCTGCCGCGCAGTGCCAGGGACTGAAGTGATGGAACGGGCCCTGGCATGGACCCGAGTTAGTGGAGGAGGCAGGTGGAGAGCAGTGAGGCCCGGGACGTGACGGCCGCGGCTCGGTGAGGAGAGAGCGAAGTGGGGTGGCTCCAAGTCTGGCAAGGAAAGGACGAGGCCCTGAACGGAGGGGAGCCAAGCTGGGAAGCATCAACACCCTGTCAGGTGTCCAGCACGGCTCGGTGGCCGGGGCAGCAGAAGGTGGCACTGGGAGTGCTATCCACTCTGCCCTGTGAGAGATTGCCCTGTGGTGAGGGCTTGTCAGGGCTGTGGGCAGAGCTGAAATTTGGGCAGGGGGATACCCTTATGTTGAGTTTGAGTTTAGTTAGCAATGGAGCTGGTTCAGGAGTGGTGAAGTAGAAGCCGATGGGGCTTGGCATACTAGGAGGATGCTGGAGACAAACTGGAGAAGGGTGCTCTGACTATACTTGTGCCCAATATTTAATTGAACAGAGCTCAAAGAACGGTGGGTGAAGATGAGAGGATCCAAATGTGTCGGAGGGAATGGAAACAGAAAGATCTGGAACATTTAGAGCTGTAAATGGAGCCTGAGTGTGTGGGGAAGCAGTGGGTTTGGATTCTTAGTGTGTGTAAAGATGAAACTCAGACTTAGCAGGAGCATGGGAAGGAGACTAGAAATACAACTGGATGCTCTGAGCGTGAATATCCATTGAACTGGGGAAAAAATGATTTTGCATTTTCTTCCTTTTACCTTTGATTGATTAAGTGACTATATGAACCATCTCCTCTCTTTTTCATTTTTCAAAGGACATATTTTTTGAGAGCCTTTCAAAAACCTTTTTCATCTCTTGGAACCAGAGGGCTCAGTCCTATGCAGTGTCCTATCTTTCTGCCTAACAGATGAGGGAAAAAAAAAAAAAAACCAGAGTGACAAAAATGTGGTAGTGTTGTTCATTTTCTTTGGCAGGAACCTGCTTCAGTGTGACATTGAGAAAAAGATGTCCAGTACTTTTCTCACATCCTTTTCTTTTGTACTTGATGGTTAAAATATTACGTTCCAGCATCCATCTGGCACTCACATAGTGAGTGTTCTCATTACTGGACATAATGAGACTTCCCATTAAAAATGGCAGGGGAAACCTGTCCATACCTCTTGGAGGTAGCTCCGTTGGTTAGAGTGTGGTGCTAACAACACCAAGGTTGTGGATTTGATCCCTGTATGGGCTATTCACTTAGGAGCTGGTCTCGATGATCCCTTCCAACTCGGAATATTTTGTGATTCTGGGAAAGTAGAGACGGCACAGCAACAGTGTGGCACTGCAGTAATGCTGCTTGGTCCATAAATGAGAAATGGGTGTCTAACAGATAACATAAATGGTTTTGAACATTAAATAAACTTCAGCTTTTTCCACATTAATCACACTCTTGGCTATAACCACGAGTTACAGAATTTTCTTACATTTACTGTCATGCCACAGTTCTTCTCAAAACCAAGGTTCCTCCCAAATAAAGCATTGCAACTAGGTTGTTTGGCTACTTTGATTCTGAGATTATGTAATTTTTGTGTGAATAGCTACATCAGTTGGCTTTGACTGGGCTAATCACGCTCTTGAATGCTTAGAGCTGGGCTTCAGCTGTGGATCACCTGAAGACATGCTATCGCCATTAGCCCAGCCATCTTGGTATCTGTATTTATAAAGTTGCCAATAATATGACTCTTAACAACAGGAAGCTAGAAGTTTGGTTCAAGCAGAGTTGAAGAGACAGGTCAGGTCAGGCATTAGGATCAAACTTAGCCAGTTCAAAGTGGTATACATGTATGCTGTGTATGTCAACTCTGACACTGATACTCTGCAAAATATAATAGAATATCAGTTCTTTGAGATAATGTTGCCACGGGACTCTGGGCAGATTTAGACAGTAACTATTATCACTATTGAATGTTTGTGAGAGATTTGAAAGCATATAAGGTGCCTGTATAATACCTGCTATAACATATGATAATTCTAACCCAGATTACTTAATTATATCTAGATTGATCCCAGTAATTGCAGTCTAGATTTCCCTTGAAATTTCAAACTCTTTGAATTTAATTAGAGGTATCTACTGAATGAGTGAGAATTATTCTGGTAGCTTTAATGCAGTAACTCTTTTCCTATTTGGACTTATTTTTGTTTCGCTTTTTTCAAAAAGGAATAGATTAATTATATGTTTTCTTCTAACTTTCTATTTTGACTATCAACATTTACAGCTTGTTGGGGTGGTTTCATCTGTACCATCTGTGGGCCATATTGCGCATCAGATGGCAGGATAAAATCTGTAACAAAAACGTTTTGGGACATAAAAGTCTTTCAGGGTTTGAAGCCATGATATTCACAACACAAATGTGTGGAGCCGTTCAAGTATCTGAAACAGAAGATGCAGAATGCCAAAGCAGCTGCTGGAGTGAAATAAAGAAGAGACCACACAGTTTGGGGAACATACAGCCATAGAGAACAAAAGAATGTTTGAGAGGACAAGAAAGTGCAACTTCAAGCAGTGAGCAATTGGAATCAATCATTAGGAATTATTGACAGCAGACATGCAGTCACACAGCAATTAGAAGTTCACTTTGGGAAGCAAGGTCAATTAATACTGTGGTAAAGAGGCAGCATCAAAAAAAGCACCTGGTTTAGCAAACAGCATTTTCTGATCACTGACTAGGCAACACAGAAGAAAATTGTCGATCACGGGTTGGGTTTTGGCCATTTTCATATTCACAAGGACAGATATCATCACCTATATCCTGTTGTAAAGGACTATATAAGAATATTTTATGACACTACACTTTGTGCAAAGATTGATGGGCCACCAGTGCAACTACAGAAGTTGATAGGTGCCTTCATTGTATATTACATTTCACCCTGTCTTCAAGTGAAAGTCTCTTCACTTTCTTCATATTTTCTGGTTTTGAGAGCAATAGGGATAAGACCCTTTAGGATATAGTGTTCTAAATACTGTGGATAGTAGGAATTGACCATTCCCCACTTCCAAGACATAAAGGCAAACTTCCTAACAGGTTTCAGTCTTTTTTCCCTCTGCAAGTGAAGGTTGTCAGTTCATCTTAGATCATTCCCTGAACTCTAGCTTGTATTTATAGTTATCATGCCTGCTGCATTTAAATATTCACTGATAACCTGATGTATCCAACTCAGAAATTAGGTCTCAAAAACATAAACAAGTAAACAAATAGTCTCACAAGAAAAATCTCTGCTTTAATTTCTTGTTATTCGTGAATTTACTGATCTCGTGCATACTAAACCCAGTAATTTCTGTCCTAGAAATATTAATATCAATGTTTTATTTGATCCAGACTACCAAGCCTTTGGTATTAAACTTTGCCTGAATCAAGTGTCTGAATTCCACAGACCTGGTGTTGTCATTGTTAAAATCTGGTTGCAGACTTTGTTTTGACTTCTCTTTTTGGGGCTAAAGTGAATCCCACCATCCTGATGGGTAATTCTGGTTTGAACCTTTCAAATAACTTTCATCCTTCTGTATGAATCACCAATGATCTTTTAAGATTCACTATATTTTATCCTTTTATTATTGTGATGTGAGTTATCCTTTCCCTTGTTGTAATATTGTAAAGTTCTATTTGGTCTATTTAATGTCGAGGCATCTACAAAATGATCTATTTCCTAAAAAACATTTATTCTAAATGGATGAAACAGGTGAATAGGATTAAACAAGATGCAGTGCTGCAGATGGGGAGCTAAAGTACATAAAATCGGATATTTTTAATGCAGACAGTTCTGAGGGCAGAGCTAGGAACTGAATTCAGATCTCCTGATTCAGATCTCCCGATTCTGTAATTCTAATGTCATCATATACAAGCTTTCTTATCCCTGTTCTTTTACAGAAATATTTTCAAAATCCATATTTTGACATGGGTGTTTTTAGCATGAATATTTAGCACACCTACTACCAAAAAAAAACTGAGGGTGCACAGTAAGATGAAAGAGACAAGAGTGTTTCTTACAACGTAAGAGCATACTTGCTTTATCTTTCCATTACTCCATAGAAATTGAGCAACCCATCAGCAGGCTTTTCTGGAAATTCAGCATAAGTACATAGTCAGTGACAGGCATGTGCAACTGTACATCATCCATCATGCAAGACACAATAGGATGCCATTTCCTTTGCTAAGAAACCTGTCCTTAACAGCAGCCTTAACAAGCCAGCTAAAGGGAAAATGCATTACCCTGCCTAAAGCCAAGGCATTCTTTGAACAGGAAAAACTTTTGGCACCTGTATAGCTGTGCTGCGTGAGAGGCTGTAACAGAGTTTCTCTTTAGAATTTTCTAAATAATTTGTTACGTTCAATTTTGTTTCAGGTAAATGTAAGAGGATACCCCCTTTTTAGTATTATCAGATCTACTGTGAAAAAGTATATTCTCTGTTAAAGAAAACTCTGT